AAACAAAATAAAAATACGCCGCCCCGAGTGGCAAGATCGTTTCTACATGTGCAAGGGTGCAATGTAATATCCGATGAGAGCAACTTCCTTGGGATTGGATGCCTCACACTGGTTCAACAGTACTGGAGTCACCTCCGTATGGTAAATGGCCATGACAGCCGTTAATGGCAATCTAGAAACTTGAGATAGTTTTAATACGATTAATGCATCAGTTATATATTATGTATGGACTTCTTGAGTCTTGTACCGTCCGGGATCCAATGGTGATTGGTCTAAGATTGCAATTGCTTGCCGCATTCCATGTATGTTGTCCAAACGAAAAGGACCAATTGGAGGTGAAATTGGAGACGTTCCAAATCTATGCAAAGTGAGTTCTGACCAAAGAAGGGCTCACAGATTCTGCTGTACTGTTGAAGTTGCTCTTGACCAGATAGAATCAAGAGTAGCTCTGCGAATGAACTCCATTGTCTCCAAGTCTTGCAGACAAGTATCCAAAGGGTCTCATTTCATCATATTCTGGAATTGGGATGTCTCACACTGGAAATGGAGCATCAACATATCTCCAGCTCAAGCTGTTAGAAACCTCGTTTCATCCTCATTCGTTACTGTGACGTCACCTTCTTTGTCTATCAAGTTGCGCACTGGAAAATGTGTCTTTCCCAGAGGACAAAAAACATCCTTCACAGAAAGCTGCACGGCAAGCTGGGAACATTCCTCAGTTGCAACAAAAATTTCCGCAGAATAATCCAGGTGTGGCACTGTAACTTTTGTAACATTCCATATAATGTACCGGTACCAGGTAGAGTGGGGTTTGCTGTTCGGGTGTCAGAAATTAAAGCTATTTATTTAGTTAACTTTAAGTGAAACTCCGTGTTGCACCATGTTGCAGTTTACGACAAAAATTCAGGTTCCTTTTCGGCCAACTCAACCGACCAAATATTCGACTCAGTCAACTGACTATTTCTTCTATTTTAGCCTTCACGGTACAATTGATGTTATGTCAGCTTTCCCACCATTTGCAGACCATGCCCTGTACACTTTGTAGTATCGGTACTCGTACCCGTATTCTCATCAGTCCAAAAGTCTAAAGTAATAATAATTTTTCAAAAAAATACTCTGACTGCTACCCTTCTAACAATAAAATTGTTAAATGGTCTTTCCAAAGAAGGCATGGGCTGCTCTGCAACCTCTAGCATTCACTTTTAGTTGCGGAAGGCAACGGCTGTATTATTGGATGGGGAGATAAGAATCGTAGCTGTACGACACCATGTGATTGATGCCCTGTCTAATCGACTGATGCTCCTGGTTTGGTGAAACTATTACCTCGTAAAGTTACTAGTAGTTGGATACCCCTTCCTTACTTCCAGTTCTCTTCTAGTTGTAAAGTCGAATGTCATTATTAAAGCAAAGACGCCTTCAGCGTTCTGCTCGCTTGTCAGACAGGAGAAATGAAGATCCCCGCCAACCCCGTGCCCAATGAAAGTGATTGAGAGCGAGAAATCTTTTAGAAAAAAAGGCCTACCTATGCTTGATTATCTTCGATTTTTTCCCGCCAGTATGCTATAATGGGCCATGTTGACAAGTGATTTTTGAAGTACCGTATACTGGAATAAGATGACAATACACCAGCCTGCGCAGAGGTAGATTCATACTCGTCCTTCATTGAACGACTGTACACTCTTGAGGATACAACACGCCTTTCAGGAGCATCAGTTGCATAGTACTTATCAAAAAAATCAAGCAACGCCTTCTTCAATTGCTCGGGAGACTTTCTAGGATTTCCGTTCTTGGTTCTTTCCGATGGTTCCTCAGTGGTGAGAACCAGTTCATCTGAAAGTCTCTTCAGCCGATCAAAAACAGGAGATATTGCCTCATGACAAGTATCAGTTGCAACAATTTCGCCCCATACCGATCCGACCTCCTGAGATAGTCTTGTATTCTCTTCGAGCAGCTGTCCAACCATTCCCCGCGCTTCCATTGCAATGGCTTCCACAGTCATGTCCTCCAATTCCCGCCGAAACAGTTGAAGCCAATTTTCAATGCGATCTTCAAGAACCAATGGGGAGGAGTTGCTACTTTGGACAACAACGGAGAGACCCCAAGAAGAGCCAGCAGTCTTGCGGGTGAACGCACTCACGATGTAACCCAATTGTTCCTGCGTTCTCAGTTTGTTGTACGCCGAGAGATACGCCTTTATTTATAGATGACAGACGGAGAAGAAAAGCAAAAGTAAGCGCAATAAGAAGTTGCACCTGCAGTGGGAGGAGACGCCAATGCTTACCAGGTGACTGATTAGATCAATAATCCCGATACCTTCGTATCCCAACGTCAAATCGCAACCAGCCTGGAACGTCACTTCGACAGCACAATTCTCCTCCGACGGACTACGAGCAAGTTCTTGAACTTTTACAGGGATTGATTCACCTGCAACGTTCTGACCAAAAATCAAGATGGCCTCATCTCGTGTTGGTAATCGCACGGATTTGAAGATAGGTGCCTCAGAATCGCGAAGTACCCTTGAAGGATTCAAGAATCGCTGTGAAATTATGCCTCCAACTTTTTTGGCACTTTCTTCGTCAATGTTACCAATGCAGAGGGAGCTCAACTACAAAACGAGAAGAAGCTTTAGAGGAACCAATGACCATCAATTATACACCGAAAACATGTTCCCTCACCTTCAGACGTCCATTCAATCCTTTGCGGACAGTCTCACCGCACTCTTCCATTTTCAACGGTTTGTTATGAGCATCATCACGCTCCATTTCATCAATATATTCATCAAGGAACCATACATTCTCTTCTAGCAGTAACCTGGAATTGTAGTTCGCTACTTCATGAGGAGCATCCAGGCGGTAGTTTTTCGTTTCTCGCAACAGACCTAAAAAAGAGATAGCTGTTAAAAACGGACAACAAGTTGTCAATCAGATACCATGAATCTGCTCTCTCACTCTCTTTAGCTTTTTCGAACTTGGAAGATAATGCAGGGTTCGTATCTTTTCCTGCTTCCAATTCATCAAGTAGACTTAACATCCTACTAGTCAGCGTATCGAAAAGAAAAACCAACTTTTCAGAGTATCCTTTCATGCTGACCTTGTAACCCGAGGGCGTGCAGCTTAGCCTTTTTGATGAAGAATGTGAGTGGCTTGGTTAGTATCAAAAAGTCTATCAAGGATATCTGCTTACCTGTAGCTGCATCCAGCAAGGCTGGCGTCATATAGAAATGAGTTTAAATCATCATTCAAAACTCGTTCATAAATTCTTGACAATGTCATCGATCTAGGCGACGAGTATGCTTCGGGAGAAACAATTGACACGCGAATGAAAGATTTTGGGACACGCCAGAAGCGATCCAACTTGTGGTAAAATTTGAAGTTGGGCCCTTGTTCAATGAGAACAGGTGCCGCCCGTCGACACTCATCCTTGTCGGAAATGCTCATGACTTGATTTTGTCCATCATCGTCGCATCGTAACGAGAAGTCGGTGGGAATGTATCTGTTCAAGTCGGGTAAATGAAGTTTTAAATTTCCATTCGCTTCGCTTGATTTCCATTGTCCCAACTTTTCGGTGGGCATCTCGTATTCGCGATATTTTGCACCATACCGTGGTTCTATATTCCAATCGTCATGATCTTCTTCGTCAATCGCCGAGTTAATGATTGTCACCATTGCATTTTCAGGGCTCAGACGTTCCAAGAAAGCATTGGCAATGAGCGGGTCATAGTCTTTGACCAAAGAGCCACTGGCCAATATTTCATTTGGTCGTCCATCGTCAAAGAGCAATTCAGCAGCTGTTGAACAGAAGTCGGTAGGATCACCATTCTCTCGAAACTTAAAGTTAGTAGCAGAAATTTGACGAAGCTCGTTGTGGTATTCTGCCATTAGTTTGGGGCTCTTCACTGCAGTATCTCTAATCAAACAAATCCACTGGAAGACAAGGTCCATAATCAGGTCCTTCTGTTCCATTCCTTTGGGTGTTAGATATAGGGTCAGGCCGAACAAAGAGAAATCGGAAGCGTCAATCGCAGTTCCACTTGTCAAAGTTGTGATTAGATTGAGATCATTCAATATGCAATGAAGCGAGCCTTTGGATTCGTGCCCAAGTAGGTGCGAAATAACCCGATGAGGTCTTGTTGCACGAAGAACAGGATCCGCCATAGGCGGCGTAGCAAATTGTACTTTAAGGGTTCGGCTTTCCAAAAGTGGTATGACTTCTCGAATCTTCCCAAGTTGCTCCTTCCCAAAAGCTGGCTCATTAGGATTGTAAACCGCGTTTTCGCGAGGAAAGAGGAGACTATTTGGATTGTATTTCTCTCTTCTTGGAGGGTGATTGGAGTATGGAAGCTGTCCGAAAGTCTCTTCCACGACCTTTTGAAGAGAATCGAGAGGCCCACTAGAGACGACTGCTAACCGCATATTTGATGTTGTGTAGTATTTTTTCAAGAATAATCTCAAGAGATCTATTGGTGGTTGTCCTGCTGACATCAACGTCTCATAGTTTCCACATCCAAAGCTGAAAATGATGAGATTGAGATTGTGCCTCAAGATAAAGAAAAAGTCCCAAATGCGGGGTTCTTACTTTGAGAAAGGGTGTTTCTGGTTAGCAATCGATTTCAGGAGCTGGTAGTTTCGCCATGCATCGCTCGTTTTGCCGTTTCTGTATTCCGAATCAATCGCTCGAAGTTCTCGTTCTGCCATGCTTTCTTCAAATCTAGGAGCAATGAAGAACTGAGAGAAGCGATCTAGAGCACCAACTAAACCTTCAGATACATTTTCACTTTCAATCGCTTGTGTAGTTATGCTGAAGTAATAGTTGGTATCTTCCATGTCGGTGTATGCGTTGGAAAACCCCCCGTGCTTGCTCAAAAATCCTTTGCAATCATGCGAATTAATGGGTTGAGACCAATGAAACAGCGTCTTATGATAAAGATGACAATGATAAAGATGACATCTTCACCAGGATACTTTTCAGTTCCCAAGAATACCATATGCTCAAAAAAGTGGCCCAAGCCCGGGAGCCCTGGCAATGAGATAACGAGTTTGAGATGGACAAAACATTGTTGGATGGATGAAGATTTTGCGTGGGCCCTTACCGCCATGATTATCAACTTCAAAACAATGGACCGAGCCTGGAAGCCCTGATGAAGAGTCTACCGCAGCATCTGTGGCGAGGCTAGCGGAAGCACTTATCATCGAAGAATCATCAAAATGGCCAGCTTGAATATGCATTGCAGCTGCTTCAACAGTCGCAGTGTTGTCTCCATTTGTTTTTGAATGTACTGGATTCCTGACAAGCAATACTTTAAGATTGTTTTTCAATTTGATGTATCTGTATTGACGCAAGTCTCTGTCTGGCTTCATGAAGTCTTCTGATTCTACCAAGACCTCGGTTTCACTTGATGCAGATTGCGCCCCCACAAAACCCGCCGAAGTTCCAGCGAGAGCTTCGGCAGAAATCGCGATGCCGCGAACATTATCTGGTGATGCGATGGAAATAGAGCTAAGACCTTTCCACAAAGACCGTGATAGTGGTTTGTTTGAGAAACATTGTCCCGCAGATGCACACAGAAACAAAAGGCTGATTTTCATGCTGTGAATTATTGTCATTTCCACAGACTAGGTTGAGATGGACACAGCAACAAAATCGAGGGATTGAATGACCAGGATATCTAAGCACGTTCGAAAGGATAAAAATAAGGAGCTCTATCGGATGCTCTGCTCGGAAGTTGCCTGATATGTTTGTCTTCAGTGATTGTTACTGGACTCCATATCGGTCTTCTCTGATCGAATGAATCATTTGGTTAGATATTTGCCTGTAGTATGCAGACGGCGGTCGGACGATGAGAGGATTAAAAGTTTCGAGAACGAGTATCTACTACAGTTCCGGTTACTCTTCAAGGACTGGTGCGCAAGCAAGTCTCTGCCATCCGGCAAAACCCAAAAGACCATCTTCACTCCACAGCACACCGGAGAATCAAACCCAAAGAAGCACCCAGACAGAAGGTGCCACTACGCTATCCTCGATAGTGAACTAGTCCACAACTACTGCACTCAGGGAACTACACAGCACACTTCGATAATGGAATAATGCGCCAAATTGGACTGATCCTACTTAATGCTGAAACAATGGTTCGTTTTGGAATTATTGGCCACTACGGAAACAAACTCAGCATATGACTTGTTGTTTCTTGCAGCTCTTCGAGCAAATGGTGCTCAGCAATCCACTGCAAGGTTCGGATTTCTGTTCGCATGACCTCTTGTGAAATATCCAGCTTAAAAGGTGCAGAAGACTTCGACACCCTTGCGAGACCATGTGTCGCCACAGCATTTGTCTTGGAACACCGAATATCTTGAAGCTGATAACGCATCATGCGGCGATGTAAGTGATGAATCAAGCGGCTCTGGATGCGATCTGCATCGTATTCTACTCCGCAGTCTTCACAAAACCAATGAACCTGTGACAATCGAATCTCTGTTAGCTAGGAATATTCCAGAATCGCTTTCGACATGTACCAATACGTACCTGTTTCTCATTCTCGTCGGAGGTTGGTGGCAGATGGCAGAGATTTATGTCTTTGCATTCTTGACATTCGGGGCAAAAAACGTCTGGCAGAATAAACGTCCGACAAGGATTATCCCACTGGGCAATTTTCGAATACTCAGCAACACCAATTTGCGCCAACAAACTTCGTTTCAAGATATGAACTTCCGTCTCCACATCACGGTCGAGCCCCAAGACAACCATAACAGATTTTATGAATTGCAAGACTGGGTGGCAACGACCAACAGATTTCTTCAGCGCATCATAAGATTCTTCATCCTTGATGATTTCCGCAACTGCGCGAGTCAAATATGCGGCGAAGTATTTTGAGATCATCTTCTGTCTGTAGGCCAACAAGTCCTGGTTTTGCTCCGCACGAAGCATCGCGTTTTCATTGCCGCTTCTGCTCAATTCCACCTGCCTTTGAAGAGTATCCCTCGAAAATCGTCCCACTAAAATTCTGAAATATTCCTCGGCGGTTTCGCTTCCGAGGTGGTTTATTATGCTCCATGCAGTCACAACGGAAGGAAGAACTACAGCACTGCTGTCAGAGTTTTCTTCGATAAAAAACTGTCCTTCAGTTTCATGCTTTTCCACTAAATCCAGATGCATTGTTCCAAAGTTGTACTCATCAAGAAACAAGAGATGGGTGTGAAAGCGACGTGGTCGCAGTGATAGTCGTGAGAGCGATGACAAATTTTGGCCATGATCATGTCCACGCATCGTATTGATAACAAAATCTATGTACTCCGCCGCGTCATCTAGCCTTGTTTTCTTCGTAGCGACAGTGATCTTGTGGAATGATGCAAAGACGATGGAGCAACCAAGTCGCTGCAACTCTCCCAATAAGCGAGCGAAAGTGGATTTCATCAATATATGAACCACCCGATGTAACGCTGGGTCGTGCATAAGGGTTTCAGGGGCAGAAACAACACGGTACAAGTTGTGCAGCAGAGCATCGGCGACCTCATTGTTGTTTGCAAACGCATCCTTCAACCACGTGGAGACAAGGGAACGAAGAAGAGGTAATGATATCGACGTTGCCGTTTCATCTCCCATCGGCTCGATAGACTTGATGGCGTTTTGATCGGCTTCGAATTGAAGAACGTTTGTCGGAGAGGGTGGGTTCGAGGACTGCGAGATATGTTCTGTTTCAGTCAACGCAGAAATTACAAGATCTTGCAACTCTATATCAACACAAACCGTTCGATAACAGCCCTGGCGCCGAACAACAGGACTAATAAGACCTTCATTATCACCCCATATGTCGTCATGATTCAAAATGTGAGTTCCAGTCAGTTGAATCGGTGGCTTCGTCGACCCATTTCCGTGAGCGAAGAATGGACCCCCAGTGTCAGGTTGGCGAACTGATTGCGTTGCCCACGACACAGCACGATTCTTTTTCAAAAGTCTTGATAGTCCAATATCAAAGAGGGCAAAGCTCTCTTCCATCCCCAGATTTCCTATGGGTAGATTTCCATATCTGGCGTAGGACACCCGTTTGGGAAAAGACACGATGCCCATGTAAAGGAAAGCCTCCATGCACAACTGGGTCGATGGCCTTTCCCAATTAAGTGCTGGGAGTGTCGAGCTAGATGGATTGTGCTCTGGTCCTGGAGGAAAGGGCAGTTGGATGACAGGAAATGAATTCATTGCAGGAATGCTTCTCCTCAGTTGGCTCGTGGCTTTGTGGCTGTTGACTAGAAGAAAAGTTGGTCCATTGTTCGACTTGAGATGTGATGATAGCTCGTCATTCACCTGAGAAAGCGCCATTTCTTCCCGAGCCACAAAATTCAACCCGGATATTTCGCAATGCGAGCTAGACGATATACAAGCGTATTCAGATTCGAGATCCATCGACTGATTTATCGTATCCAAAAGTTGCGAAAAGATGGCATCACAGCTGCTCACAGAAATGTTCTTGATTCCTCTACTAGCACCAGGGCTCACTATCCATACTTTGCACTTCGAGTGTATATGGAAGGCACCACGAGGCGACAATGAAGGCGCAGTGATATCGTCATTTCCATGCTTGCCTCGGAAAGAACCACTCCCTCCCTCAATTGTGAACAAAGCAACCAAACCAGTTCTTGTTTTTGAGTTGATTCTGGTATACATGAATGTCCTCTTGTACGACAAATTGACGTTCAAGTATAAGCCCTCAGTGGGACGGTCCACTCTCTGGAGATCGGATAGAAGATGTGATTTCTTGCCCTTCCGTCGTTTGCCAAAGTTTGAAACTCTTGAAACGGATCCAAGCTCAGTCAGAGCCCGTGTGAGTAGGGGGGTACCGGTTTCAAAAACCTCATCGAGCACAGTCGCATCTCCCTCGTTTGACTTAGCGGCTTTCAAGTATGAAGTCCAATTCTTTTGCTTGTAGACATACTCATACATACTCACTTCGTAGAGAAATGCCGCCTTCTTCCGGTGTGGTAGATGTTTGTTGACTTTCCTGAGAGAGATTATATCTTGGGAGTGGCTCACAATCTCTTGCTTCGTCGATACATATACAGTTCTTGGAACAGTAATGTGCATCTTTCGAAGAGACTCGCTGCCTAACATAACCCAAGCAATAAATTCTCCAGTTGATACGGCAGAAGACGCTGTGTCGTACGAAGTCATCTCACGTAGCTCGATGATTTGCCATTCGCGCTGTGACACATCCATCGCTGCTTCTTTCACAAACCCTTCCATACTGTTTGCTGCCTTCTTCCGTGTTGACAGATCGCGGATACCTTCCAATCGGTCTGATTGCAGGACATTTCGTTTCTCTTGACGACCCTTTCTCCAAAGAGACTTCTTTTGATTTAGCCAATTGTCGAAGTTCGAGCCTGTGAGTTTTACTCGTGGCGCATCTTCATTTGCAACACTCTCCAATTCTATCGCTCGGATTGCTTTTGTCCTGCTTCGACGTACAATCGGGCCCGCAGGCACGAAAGCTTCACCCGCAATGTCTTCGATATCCATTGGAACAGGCCGAACTTGCGAACTCATATGCTTTGATGGCTTCGTTGAAAGCATGCTTTGGATACTTCGCTGCTGAAACCTGTCATTCAGCTGTTGGACCTTCGAGTTCAACCAATCAGGATGGGAAACCCGAGGTACAGGATTCGGAACTTTCTGAAGAGCAGCAGGGATCGTGATAATCTTTTGAATTGTCTTTCCTAGGCGTTCCATATAATAGTCCCAATCCAGAATGTTTCGAATGTCAAGACCTTCGCCTTCAAGCCCTGGCGCCTTGAGCCATTTTCGCAGAAAATGTCTCATAACTCCTGGCTCTGACTTCCAGATTGCTGTAGGAATTGCGCGTTCCGTTACCGGTGCCCCGTATGGCTGCTCCGCAATGATAAACTTGCAGTTCAGCCCTTTGTCCTTGATGATTTCGGCACCAAGAAACTGACCGAGTCGTCTGGCTGTTGTTTGGGATGTGCCCTTCTGATCACCATACTCCTCAAGTTGTCTACTCATGTTCCTATTCTCACTGATCAAATCAATGAGTTCACTGTCATCCAAGGATTCGCCCCTTGTATCAATCACGTCGATCCAATGATTTGCGATTTCCGCGACACTGTCGTAGCATTGGACAAGGGAATTCCCATCGAGGAAACGTTCGAAAACTTGGGACTGAAATGTCTTAATCAATTCCAGCTCTCCCCGACGCTTCAATTCAAAGCCTTTCAATTCGGCAAGGGACCCGTCGAAATTGAATACTGCATATCTCTTCTTGAGAAGTTTTCCTTCCTCTGTGCTTGCAGGAAGTACCATGCATCGATATGGCCCATCAACTTCGAAGAAGATAGAACACTCGCTACGACTCTCGTAGCCTCCTTGCTTTGCGTTCGTCAGGGTTTGATACTGGTGGTTGGTAAAGTTGTCGTGAACGTCAGCGTTTAGCATGATACAAGGATACTCCAGTTTGACCTTTGATCCATCCCGTGCCTTGAAAGTATAAACGTCGGGAAAGCTTTTCGGAAGAATGCACCAGATTCCATCTGTATCCAACTCCAAAGGCCGACCAATCTGTTCCACAAGAACACGCGCCTGTGTGATAAGATCGGCTCCAGTCTTCGTGACAATGCCTGCCATTTCCATGGATCTCCACCTTGCACCTTTTCTCATCACGTAGCCGTAAAAGGAGTTCAGAATGCACTTGTGCGCAACTTGGAGACTGTCGTACACAAGAACTTTATCCTCTGCCTCTTTCTTGGAGCGTGGATCTGTCGCGGTAGAGATCTTCTTCTTCCAAGTTTTGGTCATCTTTTTATAATCATAACGGCGATCCCTGAATCGACGGACGGTGTCAACATAGAAATCATTTTCTCGCATGCAAACGATATCCTTTTTCGTGATTTCTTCGGTCACCTTTGTCCGTCGAAAAGCATTTTTCGAATACTCCTTCAAACGCGCAGTCACCATGTCGGCTTTCTCCCATTCTGCCAATTCGTTAAAGCGACGCCCATCACTCATCATTTCCCTTGACAGTTGGTCTTTGGTGCGATCGTACTCAAGTTTCCCAGCTGGGCTGTAGTCTCCCCTCCAAATCCACTCCATTTTACGTTTGCATCCATTCCTTGCATGGTTGAAATCGCATGCAGCACAAATCGAATCGTCGACGATGGCACTTGGCTGCAAACGGTTTGTGAGAATGATGTTTGGGTACATTGCCCCGACATCCAAATGGTAGATGTAGGGTTTTTCAACACGCTTCGGTCGATCGCGCAGAAGTTCAAGTTGCTCTACGATGAGAGATCGCACTTCGTCGTAGTTCACAATGTCAGCTCTGTCCATTCCCCCTTCCACCTCGATTGAGAAGCACAAATCTCGGTCAACGTTGTCTATCAATTGTTGAAATGCAGTGGGCTTCAGATCGAATTCATATTCAACGTCACTTCTATAGACACCAGTTTCCAAACATTCGACTTTACCACCGATGTATGTTTCACTTTCGAGCAGGTGACCGTTGTGAAACTTTGCCAATGGATCAATTTGTTTGTTTGGGCAAACAATACTCAGGTCATTCGCTTGTACCATCAACAAGGCCTCACATAGAGTACCAGACCCCTTTCGAAGCACATCTTCAGGCCCCATTGGAATAAGCGTGCATAAACTGAAAATGAAGAGGTGCACGTATTTCTCGTACAGGTAGTATGTTGCAACAGCATCGGAAACCGAGTACGTTGCCATATGCACGGGCCGTTCTTGTGCCAACGGAAGCATATCCTCAGGATCCACCTCAACCGGATCATATCCGAGTTTGTATTTTGTGACTGCTTTCAGACCTTGCGCGCCTTGTGGCAGGTAGGAGTCCCTTTGTACCCAGCAAAAGGCATCAAGATGCACGCAACAACGGCCTCGAAATTCATCGTCACCAGACTTGCAAATGCCCAACTCAGACCAGAGGTCAATTCCATGACTTTTGGCTCTTTGAAGAAGAAAAGGCCAGTCAAAGGAGTCCCCATTGTAAGTCACCACGATTTGAGGGCGAAGTCGTTGATACTCCCTCACGAATCGGAGGATAAGCTCCTTTTCATCCTTCTCATTGAAGATGGAAAAGGGGCCAGGGTAGCTTGGCTTCGGGGTGTATTCAAACGCAGAGATATCCTGTGATACAAATGATCTTGAGCAGATAAGGAATCCTTCGGGTTGATTATTCCCGTTCGAGATCATGTAGGAAATCATGTATATTTCATCCACGTCTGCATTTGGAAACTTAAGAGGAGCTTTCGTACACTCAATATCAAAAGCAAGCACACGTGGGTTTGCCTTTGTCTCGATGTCAGGATCTGTCAGAGTCGATACTGGCGATCCGCCATCTTCCCCCTCAACCGTCACAGTGTACCAAGACCCAGCTCGAATCTTCAAATCCATGCATACCCGAACAACGTATGGAACATCGTATTCCCTTAGCTCTTGCATATTCTTCCAAGGATCCAATCTTCTATCCCTTGATGAGGTTTCTTGATCCATGTCGAAATCGGAAGTATCGAAAGCAGAGGATACCAGCTGCCCAGACGCCTTGACGAGATCAGCAAGGCTCGAACGCACCTCCATCAGCTGGGATACATTGTCAAAGATGAGCTTCCAGACCATTCGTGTGGAATTAGTTGGCGACAAATGGTTTGGCTGATCCAAATCTACCATCGGTACTAATCGTGCATCCGCTAGGAGCCCTGAGTATTTCTTCAACAATAGTTGCCCAAGGCCTTCGTCTTTTTCATGCGTCAAAAGGTAGATGTAAGGACGATGTAGAACTGTTGTTTTGAAATTTCCCCCATTCCCGTCAACAAAGTATAAATCCAACCCAGCCTGTTCAATCCCTGAACTAGGATCAATCCTCTGAGAAAGAATATTAGCAAAGCTTCAAATGCATTCCCGACCAAGAAAGAATCTTTTGAGCGAGACTTACTGTTGTTGCCAACATGTGGAAAAGCCACCCACGCCGTTGAATTACCGATGCCCCCCTCGACGCGGTAGACAATTGATCTTCCAACCTTCTGTATCCAAATTTGATATCGATTGCTTCCCCTTGCTCGTGCCGCAATCGTCGTCGTGCTGCAGCTTCCTCAGCTTTCCGAGCTTGATCACTCTGAGTGACAGTGCTATTCTTATTCCCTCCAAACTGCCGCTGATATCGACTCGGCTTCTTCATAGCTTGACCGAAAACGCGATTTGGGTATGGCATGTTTGCAGGAGCAAGTGGGTCTTCAAGGACAGTAGTGCACAACTTTGGTAAAGCTGTCGACTGTGGTAATTTTCAATGATCTGTCATTCACAATAATCAAGCCGAACCAGCAGCCGGCCAACTTTGGTACTGTTGTCTTCGTAGAATGAATCGAGACTGGTGACGAGATAAATTTTTTTTTGGCGCGCCATAATGTATTTATTGAACAATACAAGATTACTGAATTAAGAAAAACCATAATCAAAAGCGTATTGCAATACTGTTCTGTCGTGTACTCGAATGAATCATCAATAAATCGATCGTACCGTGGTACCATCGCATCGAATAATGGTAAAAGTTGTTGAGATGACGACCCTACGAAACCGGCGGGGGCTTCCGAAGGAAAGGATGGAAAGGCAGGATATGGAAGGTATGGAAAGCATGGAATCGAAGTCACTCCTTCAGGATGTTGGCAACCGTCGAGAAGAAATGTCTCTCAACATTGCTGATGGATACATCTTGGTACCGCTGAGGGAGAGACATATGTTCTTGCGGTTAGACGTTTGGCCGTTCTTGTTTTGCTATGCCCTCCTCGTGATATTGGATTTTTCCAATGATGCCTTGGATGGATCCTTCACTCTTCTATATGTTCTGCCTCAAATGTTTTTCCCTCTCGTCCTATTGGCGCATGTGGCACTGTTTTTGCTTTGCCAATGGGACATTTTTTGGCGTGCTTCTGTTGGATATCAAAGGTTGTCCATGAAGTCGGGAAAGTCCAGTTGGACACATTGTCTTGTGGAAGCACCACATATCGATAAGCATCATGCTGCTCATGACGCCGGAATAGTACAAATTCGACGCCAGAACAATGTTGTTGCATGTCGCTTTCAGGATGTCATCTTTCGATGTGCCAACCAAGAAACTGATGCTGACATTACGCTTTGGGATGTAGGAAGGACTGACGAGAATTCAGGTCATGAAGGGAGTACATTCCACAGATTGCGCTATCCCGCTCATCTACCGCTCTCTTTCTATCATCAATGGACTGGCCATAGATCATTGCAAAATTTGGTTCAAGCACAACAAGTCTACGGAAATAATGTCACTTCTATTCGGCTTCCTCCCTTTCTTGAAATGCTACAAGAACAGCTGGTGGCGCCGTTCTTCCTTTTTCAAGTGCTCTGTGTTCTACTTTGGTGCCTCGATGAATATTGGTACTACGCTGTTTTTACCTTTTTTGCCCTTCTAATGTTTGAATCGACGGTCGCATACAACCGACTCAAGTCCCTCGAACGCCTTCGTTCGCACACAATGCATGGGCATGAAAAGATGATTTACACATACAGGCCTGCCTTTCCCCCAGGAGCCACTGGCTGGGTTCGAATCGGTACGAGCGAAATTGTTCCAGGTGACATCATTAGTTGTCGAGAGGCAACTGCTCGCAGAGGAAGGAATATGGCTCACCACCAAAAGCAATATCTGAATCGAGTCCCTGCCGACATTTTGATTCTAAGTGGAGACGTAGTCGTGGATGAATCTTTATTGACTGGAGAGTCTGTCCCCCAATTGAAAACCTCTCTGGAGGAGACGTCCACTGATCGGAATTTGGACTTGCAAGAACACAAGCAATCCATATGTTTCGGAGGGACGAATTTATTGGTGACGCACGAGGGTGGTGATACGCGATTTCCTGCAGCACCAGATGGAGGCGTGATTGGCGTCGTATTGAGGACCGGATTTGAGACAGCTCAAGGCGGCTTGCTTCGTACCATGGCCCATACGCAAAAATCAGTCGATGGAATCCATACAAGGGACACATACATCTTTATTTTGTTACTTTTATTATGCGCAATACTTAGCGCACATATGGTATGGGAAGAAGGCTGGGCGGATGAATCCAGGAATCGATTTCGGCTCATTTTGCACGTGATTATGATCATTACAAGCGTTGTACCACCAGAGCTGCCAATGGAGTTGAGTTTGGCAGTCACAAATAGTGTCACCGATTTGATGAAACGATGCCATGTTTACTGTACCGAGATATTTCGAATTCCCATTGCGGGTCAAGTAGATGTTTGCTGCTTCGATAAAACCGGGACATTGACCAGTGATGAAATGCAACTTAAAGGAGTTCGTCTTGTCGACAATGGCAGCTTCCAAGAAGTTATGAAAACAAACGAATCATTGCCTGTGGAGCCAACTTTTATTATGGCCGCTTGCCATACTTTAGCACTTGGTGGTGATGAAAGCAACAATGTCATTGGGGATCCATTGGAGAAAGCAATTATGTCGACTACAGGGTACAGGCTTGTGAAAAACAATGAACTGCAACGAGAGGCAGTCTCGGAAAATCGAGCAAGCATGATCCAGATAGTTCAAAGGTTTAATTTCACCTCCCGTTTGAAACGAATGAGTGTGCTGGCAAGAGTGGATTCAGGTGATACTGTTTGGGCATTGACGAAAGGTAAGTTCAACTGTTTATGTCTCTGGCAAACGATGACTTTTTTGGTCTAAGTCCTCGTTTGCAGGAGCACCAGAAGTTGTGAAGAAACTATTGAAAGAAGGAACCTGTCCAGACGAATATGACAAGGTGTCAATGTATCATATGGGTAGAGGGCAGCGAGTTTTGGCGATGGCGTACCGCCATGTTTCTCTTGGCCAGGACGTTTTGACATTGAAGGACTTGAAACGGGATGATGTGGAGTGCAACCTAATTTTTGCCGGATTTCTGTTGCTAGACTGCCCAATCAAAGGTGATTCGAAGGTAAGCATTCTGCATTCTCGAATGGATTTCAACAGACTAGAAACTGACTCGTTATGCAGTCTGTGATACAAGAATTACAGTCTTCTGGACACAACGTGAAGATGATCACTGGAGATAGTCTCTGGACTGCCGCAGAAGTTGCTCGGCAAGTTGGCATAGTACAGAAAAGGAATGGCTCTTTTCCACAATTCTTCCAATTAGAGCGTTGCCATTCCAATACAAGCAATGCATCGTGCAAACTTGCATTGGGAAATTTTCGCTTCGTTTCGATGATTCCCGACTCGCTTTGTGGGACTGGGGACATTGGTGTATCAGTTGTTGCTTCGGATCTTGACAGATTGAAGGAAATGGTCGAAAGTGGAGACGCAAGCTTGTGTATATCTGGTGATGCCCTACAAGATTTAATGAGTGGACTGGTGGGCGGAGACAAGCCAAATTTTGTTTCATCTGCAGTTTTAAGGGGAGAAGACAAGCACGCACTGTTTGATCCAGCAGCGCAAGCCGTCTTAAAGAGCTTGGTTCCGCTGGTTTCAGTTTTCGCTAGGCATGCCCCTCGGCAGAAGGAAGCTATTGTGGCTGCTATCAACCTGGGTGGTTTTAAAACACTCATGTGTGGCGACGGCACAAATGATATGGGTAAGTCGGCATTACTTCTTTGCGTTATATAGGCACACGATGGCCATTGCTTACAAACTAAATGTGCTGCACAGCTTCCTTGCGTCGTGCTCATGTTGGAATATCCATCATAAGTGCCCCAGGAGTAGAAGCAAAGCAAAGGTCAGCAACGACCAAAATATCTTCTGCCCGAGCGAAACAAAACAAGGAAAGAAAGAAAAAAAATGGAACTGCGAAACTGAAGGCCTCTAATGCTTCCTTGCAAGATTCCCTGAACCAGTTGCGTGAGGCGCAGGAAGAGCTGAACAGTGTTGAGCTTGGTGATGCATCCATCGCTAGTCCATTTACCAGCCGTTCTGTGAGTATCAAGTGCTGCAAGGATGTCTTGCAGCAAGGCAGATGTACCCTCGTCACCATGTTGCAAATCTACAAGATATTGGGAATCAATTGTCTGGTCAATGCAATGGTTCTGTCCAATTTATTTCTTCATGGAGTCAAGCAAGGAGATCGGCAGCTCACAGTCACAGGCCTGGCAGTCGCGGCTTTGTTCCTCTTCGTCACTAGAGGGAAGCCGCTGGACTCGATCTCGCCAATTCGACCGCCGGCATCCGTCCTTTGCCGTTCGGCTCTAACTTCAATTGCAATGCAATTTGGTATTCATTTCTGGGCCATTCGCCTTGCATCTCAAGTTTCCTTATCGTTCGTTGATCCATACGACCCAAGCATGATTCCTGACGGACCTTTCAACCCCAACACGTTGAACACGTCGACATTTCTTATGAACTTGCTGGCAACAGTCAATACATTTGCTGTCAATTATCGTGGAGAACCTTTTGTTGAGCCACTGGAAAAAAACAAGATGCTTCTGAGAAGCTTACAGACATGTTATGCAGTTCTCCTTTGCTGCGCCCTCGAACTGTTCCCACCTTTGAGCGATTTGCTGCAACTAAGCGAGTACCCATCAGTAGCAAGTGACGACGCGCAAGAGTGGCAGAAGGACAGCCGTAGCACGGATCTGATTCTTTCACTTGCCAATCGAATTGTTTCATCGTTTGGATTTCCTGCTTTCATGTGTGGACTTATGCTCGTGGATACCTCATCCACATTTGCAGTTGAAAAACTCATTCTTCGTCTTTTTGAGCCCAGTTCACCATATTAAAATAACACAAGGTAATTCAATTTTTAAAATATTATTACATATATTACTACTGTTCAAAGTAGTCAATTGAGTCAATCTCTCTATTTGCTTCGTTCGCACTTCTTTGTAGCCACTACAATACCGGTACTTCAGCGAGCACATCTCCAAGATGGGGCAAAATGCTGATAATCTTGATACCGACCTGGATGACTTGCTTTCTGAGGTCAGAACAGAGGAGAGAAATCGCAGCAATCAAGGTTGTGGATCAGCGTTCCTTAACCTATGCTTTGCATACTGCACATATACGTGCGAGTATGCACCACGAGTGTGTTTGTTTCTCGGCATTGCTGGTTTGGTTGTCCCTGCATATTTCTTGGTGATGGCAGCACTCAACCCTACAGAACAGTTTGGAGTCATCCAAAATGACTACACTGATGCTCGATCGAAGTACGATCTCGAAGTGGGTAAGCTTTTCTTTCACATTTCTTGACATGTAACAGTCGCAGCTAACAATGTGTTCCTTTGTAATCTTTTCTTCTTAATTTAGGCAAAATTTCACACTGGGTATGACGCGCAACGCTTTGTTGTTCATTTGCTTACCTTATCTCTGTGGTCTAACCTATCTCTTATTTTAAAAGTGTATTTCAGGACCAACTTGCCGTTGCGAGGATCCATTGCAACCTCAGGCCAGAGCCGAGTTTCGCAAATGGACTAACGCTCACCTTGAAAACAAAGAGGTGGTGAGCAAGATGGTCCAGGACCATAAAACCCCTGATATCGCGTTTCTCGGGGCATCAGTGGTCGAGGAAATGGACGGTAGATGGTTTGGAAACAGTCGTGACGAAGATTTGAATCGACTGGACAAGCTGTTCAACAAAAACTTCAACAAGGATCAAGGCGCAGAATTGGATGCGGTAGCCTTAGGAATTGCTGGAGATACGGTACGTCGTTGTGGCACTATTGTTCGTTCCTTCTTTTCAATAGGCCTGACTTTCTTTAGAGCCCCTCGGTGCTGTGGAGACTCATGAATGGCGAAATGCCCACGGACTTTAGCCCGAAGATCTGGTGGCTTGAGCTTGTACGTTCTTTAGCTTGATTGAGAACTGCTTCTTTTGCTCCCTAATGCATGACCATGAAATTTGTTTTAATTTAGGGGATGAACGATTTGGGTAGAACTCGTTGCAGTGAAGAAGTGGTTATTCTTGGAGTCCTTCGAGTAGTGGAAGAAATTCTGAACAAGAAGCCAAGTGCAAAGATCGTTATCAATAGTCTTCTGCCTATGGCTGAATTCCGAGGTGGCTTCGAACCGAATAAGTGGGATTTCAAAGATTCTTTTTTCAAGTCCATCATCGCCGAAGACTCAGAAGGCAACGATCGAAGGCGACTACAAGAGCAGCAACGCCGTGGACTTGGTTGGTTTGGCATGCTTGGAAGGGGCACTGGAAAGCCACCCAAGCCTGTCAGGATGTCAGCGGACCGGAACAAACAAAAGAAGTTCAAGTCCCTTACCCGTCGAAAGCAAAAAATTCCCTTGTTTACTTCAATTTATGCTATCAACGCTGTGTTGCGAAAATTTGCGTCGAAACACGACAACGTGTATTTCTTTGATGCAACGAGTAAGTATTGCTTCCAAACTTGTGCTTTGTACCGGTACAATGAGACCTGTTCTCGACCCTCAATTCCGTTTTGTGCTCGCATTTAGGTATTTTTGCAGAGCGAGAGGAGAGATACTGGAATCTGAGGACTGAAATGATCTCTACACGAGGACATCCATCCTTTGAAGGGTATAGGAAGTGGGAACAAGCTGTGATTGAAAAGGCGAAAACTATTCTTCAGGGTGGTGGTAGTACGTAGGTCTTTGCAAAGGAACGAAGGCACCAACTCTCCCGTGTAACATAGGCTGTCGAGTCTTCCGCATATGGCACTTACTCGTAGCTAAAATATATTACACCAAGCTTACACTTCTCCTTTATCATCATCTATTGTCGAATGGGAGGAAAACGACGAGATTTGATACCTATAGATTTCATCCATAGACGTCTTCAGTGACCGGTGTAAGACATGCGGAGTCTCTTCGAACAGTACCATCACAACGCCCCATACAGCTGCGCTAAGCAGAGAATATGTTTTTGGATGCTGCAGCATGTTTTTGTATTCAATCGGTGAAAACTTCTCCCAGCACCGCTTAGACAGGCCAATCAAGATTCGACTTGTAAGATACAGAACAATTTGATAGTTTACACTGGAGTATTTCCCCCAGACTACGTATCCACCAGTGGCTCCAGCTAGTAATGCATGATACGCTCGTTCCGGTTGCCCAGCCATCGAAGTTGGGGCGACGACGCCAGGAGATGGACCATCGACTTGATGACAAAGATGAAAGTGAGATAACAACCTAGGCAAATCAATAACTGGAGAAACAAGCAACGCTGCAAAACAAAAACTCACCAATATATTTGCACAACAACATAACCAACCTCTTGTCATCTTTCGCAAGACGAAGCCGGCGAGAACACCATTTGAGTGAAACGAGGGACGCCTACATGATCACATCACGTTGGTAGAGAGGCAAACGATTGAATTCGAAGACTGATGAGATTATCCTAGATAGGTGAATAACAGCAGAGGAAAAATGCGGTTCCATGCATGAATACTCACCTTGTAAATTGTGGCAAACGACGCTAGGTTAGCGGCGTGCTCGAAGCCCAGTTTGAAGATATAGCGGAGCTTTTCCTTCTTACTCAAATCTAGAAGATTGGAATATAAAGGTGCAAACAGCTTTTAGCAAATTCCTTTTCCCCATTGAGCAGAATTATTGACGTGCATACCATTGTGGAACAAAACAGTCATGACGAGTGCATGAGGTAGTCGTATTTTCAAGCCATAACGAGCGCCTCCTACTAAGGCCCCACACACTGCAAGGAGCTCGTCCACAAGATTGATCATTAGCCCCTACGGCGTGAGAAACCTGTAGCAGTGTGGATCACTTATTTAGCGAATACCGAATGGCGTGATTGTTGTGTTCGAAGAATCTTTATTAGACTTGGAGGATGAGCGCTGGTACTGGTACCTGTTGTGGATCTGTGACGCCCGTTTGGCGACCGAACCTGCAAAATCATTCTGCCGAATGGCCGGATTATTTGTCCTGTCCCATTTGCCGAATACTGTTCGGCTGGCGTGGCTGTTTTACGAAATCTTCAGAAATACCGCTCATGTCATATCAGCCTTGATGTAGTTTCCATCTCTACATAGAAATTGTCATTGTAGGTGTACCCCTCCCTGTGTTTCTTCCGGTACTGATGTTGGGTCAGGTTGCCTACTTTGTCTATATCCCAGTTGGACAGCAATTCTACCAACTGGTTGCATTCACTTTCAGTGTAAAGTTTGGACCTAGAAGATAACCTTTTCTCTAGTGACTTAACATTTCCGTCAGTATCCAGAATGTAGCCACCAAAGGGAAGGATACAAAATCGTTTCTTGATTTCAATTCATCAGCAAGTGTGTCACAATGTTTGTTGGATGAGGCAACTGAAGAGGCCATATCATTATCAGAAGGGTCAGCACTTGAGACTTCTGCAATGGCCATGGTAAAAACGGATTCTAAGCTGCTTCTGGGAAGGGAACGTTGTAGGCCAATGTGAGTGAGTCTTCCTTCTGGTCAATACTGTAGAGCCAAGGTTGCTACTCTAAAACGAAACCACTCAAGATAACGATTCTGGAGAACATAGTTTGAGAGAGAGGCAGGCGCTAAATGGGACATTCTGGCTTGGAGAATTGCTTGGCCATTCGGTAGAATGGCCCAGTTGGTAGACTGGCTCGGCCATTCTGTACCGGTAGAATGGGCCAGTTGGTACAGAATGGCGGTCACAGATCTGTTCACAGTATCTTCTATGAGCGAGCGCGCGCGAGACAAACAAGCAAGCAAATGTCAAATACAGTATGACTTAGTCGACTACAATGATTCACAACACATGAACTAAAACAAAAAGCTGTACTGTACAGTAGTCTCATCATCACTGGCGGGCAATTCAACCTTCGAATTGAGGCTGGGGATTTGACTGACACTGCGAATAGTTAAAAAGAAAGCAAAAACAGAACGATCCAAAGGAAAATGTTTGGTCCTATTTTCAACCTCCGCATGGTTGGGCTTTGCCCATGCTTAGAAAGCGAGGAAAACAGAGCTGCAAGGAAAGCCCTAGACGAATTGAACGCAATATGCAAGGTTGTGGATTGGCATGTGCGCAAGAAATCTGGGCCAAGAGGGTTTGTGCAGAGCCTGTTCCGGCAAAAGTCCAATGATGATGCACCCACGCCATCTCAAATGGAAATCGTGGATGGAACAAAAGATGAAATAAACAATGGCTCTCCTTTTCCCGAGCTCCAAATCAAGCCTTTGGCATCCTTTGAGGGTGAATCAAAAAAGAAAAAGAACAGTGCTGACATACGACTAGACATTCCATTACATCACATTCATAGAATTGAGGACGAAGCTGAATCCACAATCGTAATCATCACCAAAGACGTCCACAGCATGGACGAAAACGAAGCAACGAAAGAGGCAGCACGTATTAGCCTACCTTCACAGGATAAAAGAGACTCCATATCGTTGGATCTCAAAGTAATAGTCGAGTGGAACAAGAACCGACAACCAGAAATAGAGGAAGAGTTCGCTGCTGATGGATTGCGGCAAAGTAAGTTTACTATCCCCGCAAATATAAAGGAAACCAGAAGGGTTAATCGAGATCTTACCACCACAGTTATTTTTCATACGCCATCCTAAAAACAGAGGCGAAGAAGGCTACCCACTTCGCCAGAAGAGAGATCGAAATGTCTAAATCCAAAAAGTCCCGGGAGAAACGAAAGGAAATGTACCTTCAAGGAGGAGGTATGAAGTTCACCGCGATGGCAATGGCAAACAGAGAAATTTGATGTTGGTGAATGTAACTTAGAGATACCCTGTTGCAAGCATCTATGTCTCTGAACCACGTACTGCCCACCATTTCATGCTTCTTCTCAACTTTTCTGGCCCTCCTCTTTCTTGTTGTTTCGTCTGCCTCGATTACGACGACGACGACCACCGGAACTAGGATGGAATACAATGTTACGCATCAGAAAACCATTGGATTCAAGAGCCTCTTTCGGGTCAACCTTCCCTTCACCCCAAATGGGCTTGTCGTCTTCCTCTCCTTTTGGGGGCACTACATTGTCTACGGAAACACAACAGAAGCAGTGGAATGAGAGCAAAAAGCACAAAGTTCAGCCATCGCAAATAATCTTACCATCGCCTAGATTAAACTCTGTAACAAGGTACTTCGTTTCCGCTGCTACAGTTGACACCTGCCACTCTGCGTTTTCCAACTTCAGCACTTTTTCCCACTCAGCAGTGATCTTTCCGCTTGAATCACATGTATACTTTCCCTCCGCGACGACTCCATCCGCATGACCAAACGCAGTGTAACTGTTGTATTTTTTCGGTGGATGATGGACAAATCATTAGACGCGGATGACAAACTGAAAAATACCAGGCGCACTCGCCATGGTCAAATTCAAGGCAAAAAGCATTAAAGAAGACTACTCACCCACCACTTCCAAGTTTGATTCTTGCATCACCGATGGCTATGAAGGTCTTTCCTGCAACGATCTTAAGATCTTTGGACTCAAGTCCTTCTTTCACACTGCTTTCCAAAATGCTCTCAAGGGATTCTTTTGCTGGCTTCTTGTCGCTTTCGCTGGATTTCGCCTTGTTGGAGTTCTCATTCTGGGCGTCGTCAGTATTGCTGTTTCCTTTCTTGTTGTTCTTTCTGCGGCGGTTCCGGCCTTCTTTCTTCTCTGCTGGCTTATCGCTGCTATTTGTATTCTGCTTGCTGTTTTCATCAACGTCTTTCTGGGTCTCGTTCACACCAGAAGTGTCATCCGCAGCTGCTGGAGTGTCAGAATCTGCTTTCTTTCGGCGTCTTCGGCGCTCCCTTGGTTCTGGGATCGGACATGGAGATCCATCAGCAGAAGTGACATTTTGTGCCTTTAGTTTTCCATCCTCATCTGTCGTCACCTCGAATTGAACTTCCATTCCATCTTTGATGGTTCGATAAGTGCCTTCTTTTTCCATCACGATGTTAGATTGATGGACAAAAATATCATCTTTCGTAGGAGAATCGTCACCTGTGGGGGTTATGAAACCAAAACCCTTGCGGTTTGAGAACCATTTAACAGTTCCTTGGATCTTCTCTGGCATGCTGTGTAAAGATTGAACGAAAGATGGACGATAGCTTTTGTGGACTGAAATGAGTTGTCACAGCCATCGATGAAATTCGACAGCTTGCGAATGTCAAAAAGCGGTCGGACCGGTCGACACCAGAACCCGCATTGTTTTCGGTTTTGCAGTCGTCTTTCGCGCAGGCTCAGCTTTTCTGGAACGGTACAGTAAGCGAAATGCAAATCAACTGCACCATCGTTGTTCCTAGGCTGAAAACCTCGAACCAAACGGTACACCCCGTCTTCCAAAACCCACTGACTGAGCCAATCTACACTAGAAGGTGTAAAGGTGAGAGATTAATTCGCGTTGTCATCCATCTACACTAGAAAGCTATGGAAAGCATCACGAAACACTTCTTGGCAAGTCTCGCGCGCAAATTCGAAATTGTTCGATTTTGCTGAGATCCTACAGTGCCGGTACATGTATCTGTGCCATTGTACTTCTGAATTCATCGAACGGGTAGCTTACATGGTTTTCCATTATTTCTCACTTAAAGAAAAACGAGTATTATGGAAGGGCAAGCACAAACAGGGCCAAGGCCGCTTCAAATGGGTGCAAAAGGGGCCTATATTGTTCGCTTGTTGATGGTGGGAGACTCATCCTGTGGAAAGACGTCGTTGGTTTTGAGATTTGACCAGAATGTGTTTTCTACAAAATTTGTCACTACAATTGGCGTGGACTATAGAGACAAAATGGTGAAGGTAAGCAAGCTACTTGCCTGAATCGTTGGTGCAATCAATTGGGCGTCCACTTTGTGTACGAAACAATCGCCTCACGTGTGTTTTCGTCTGTAGATCGAAGGGGCACCAATGCGTCTTCAATTGTGGGACACAGCAGGACAAGAACGATTTCGATCGTTGACATCGAATTTCTTTGGCCGGGCCGATGGCTTTGTTCTTACGTACGATATTTCCAACAGACCATCGTTCGATCACGTGATTGGATGGATGAGAGACATCAAGACGAGAGCGCCACCGGATTGCGATATTGTGTTGTGCGGAAACAAAAGTGATCTTGACAACGATAGAGTGGTTACATACGATGAGGGAAAGCAATTGGCAGACGAATATGGAGTGCAGTTTTTTGAAACCTCTGCACTTACAGGGCACCATGTTGAAAAAATGTTTACGTCCCTCGCAACAACCATCAAACATAAGCGGATCGACGAATTTGAAGGAGCAATGCCCCCTACTGCTGACAGTGCCTCGGCCGCTGGAGGCGGTCAGCCAATCAACTTGACAACACCCACTGCCGACAACGCTGCACCAAAGCAAGGATGCTGTTGATTCTGCCTTCACCAACACATTGCTTCATCGCTCTCCCAACCCTTGATGCAACGAAACATCTTGAGAGTATACTGTAAATTTGAAAATCCTAAACGCAGCGAAGTATTATTTAGCAATCCTATTTGTTGGCAGTTCTCTTCTCGCTGATGGATCGGCGAATCAATGACATCATCTTGGACGTCTCCAACACCAGACCGAGGATAGTACGCACAATAAATATAATAAGTCTTATCTATAAAATAATTCTAGATTCCTTTTTAGCAGTTGCCGCGAACGAAAAAGCAAGACGAAGTGTTTGGGTCTCGCAAACTCTTTGAAAGAACGACTTTCAGTAGGAAATAGAGATGTATGATAACTTAGAATGGAGCCATTGGTTCTCCAGTGTATGGTGCAACAAGACCCTCAAGAAGAGGGACAGATCCTGCAACCTTTTGTTCAGCCTAAGAGAGAAAACCCAAGAGTTAGTTTTGTATTCGAAATGCAAAACAAAAAAGTCATGAGATGCGCCACGTACCAAAAATCCAAGGATACCTGTAGTAAAATGAAGAAGGTTTGGGGGGTTAGGGCTTCATCGAACTGTCGAATTATGAAAAAAACAGCCGTATCCTTCACTAACCAATTTGAGCCAAGCGCCCATTGTTAATTTCTGCGATGCGACCCCGAGCCTTGGCTTCTTCACTTCGTCCATTGCTGAAGCCAAAAGGATCAAAAAGGTTGAATGGAACAGGGTGCGGGATCTTTTGTGAATCGGTGAACTTGGGAAAAGCACCAGGCATCCCCCCTTTCATGTAGTGAGTTCCATTGGACTCAGAGAAGTGTTCCAAGAATCCAATGAAAAGAAGAATTTGCCACTTGGCGGCATCTGGAAGAGCATCCCATTGCTCGGGTGGAGAGCCAGCCTCGTATGGGAACGGAGTTCCATCAGTCATCATGTTCCTGTCATGAAAGGAAGATTGAGAAATAAATACAACCTCTACAGTGCAAGTATAAAATACAAACAAGGACCTACCATGGCCAGTGAATGCCATTGGCTTGTACAATGTAACCAACGAAAGCAGCCATGGCAACACGTCCGTGTTTGATTTCAGCATGACGCAAGAATCCGATTGAAGCTTCGTTGCTTTGTCCCCAGATGGAAATTGTGGCCAACTCAAGGGGATCGTAGTACTATGTTCCATAATCGATAGCGAAGAAAATAAACAGAAAGGCACTAATGAGGTTCCACTTTCGCATAAAATGTTTTCACATAAGGACTTCAAAGGTATCTTCCAAGTATTCACCTTCAAGACAGGGTTGGACTTCTCAGCAACTTCCTTCAGGTCCTCCATTGCGCCATTCAAGGCAGTGGAAGACTTGGAAACACCTTGTGGTGCAAAGGCGGCAGCAGAAGCAGCAAGCACAGCGAAAAGAACGGTCTTCATTTTCAGGTTTTGTGTTTTATAAAATAAATCTACCTGCGCACGGAGTTCGACTTTGCGATCTTCGTTGGTTTGGGTTGTTCAACTTTCACTTATCGAGGGGAAACATCCACCTTTTATTTTTTAGGGGAGACATCGTTTCGACCCAGCCGACTAGATGACTGACTCACCGGACCCAAATATAATGCAACACTGGGCCTGCTAGATATAGTCCTTCCGGCGTCCGTAGCACTAAGTCTGTACCCTAGCCATTGCGAATTATGACCGTTAAACTATTAACATGCGTGCGCGCCAACTGAAAGCGACGATCTGACAAAACGGAATCTAAATATTCAGCACAACCGGCAGATCGATGATTGGTCGGCAAGACGGGAGACGTATGGGCGTTTCTAGCTCTTCCTTAGTCTCAATTTCCGTCGTGTCGATTACGGTGCGTCGCTTCAGTGAAGTACACGGTTGGTGGACGGAGCGAAGAGTGTCGACGAAGAGGACGGAAGATTGGAGAAGACATTGTTCGCAATGGGAGCTTGTATATATATATATATATATATAACTGAATCATTAATTGGTTTTTATGCTACTTCTAGAGTATCCAACTGCCGGTGTAATACGGCTGTAGAGGCCAGGAACTATGCTGCTTTTAGTCAGATAAGTTTGA